TAATCCACAGGAACCCTGTGATTAATCTGATTAAAAATTTTAATCATTTGACAGCACTAATATTATTATATCTTTGCGGGGACTCTCCATTCATTTCTATGGGAACAACTCTTATCACAACATGATGACCTTAACCCCAACTCATGTGGGAACATTTGGTCCCCACAATATAATATAAACCTAATCCACACACACACACGCACACACACACACACAAACACAGGACTAATTGTTGCCGATAATTGACCTCTGTACGTAGATATTACCTTTTCAAATAGCCATGTACATAGCCAAATAGCCATAGTGATTTACAACAATACCGTCTACACTGTATTTCTGATGAACTTGATGTAATTTTAATGGACAAAAAAAATGCTTTTCTTTTGGAAACAATGACATTTCCTAGTAACTCCAAACTTTAGTGGTAGTGTGTAAATATATATATATACAAACACACACACACACACACACACACACACACACCCACACACACACACACACACAGCCCTTTGATATTGGTTTCCTCCAGCAGGTACAAACACACTCACAACTCATCACTTGATGCGTCAAGTATTTAGCAGAGCATCAGCGTCAATCTCTTTTCCAAATTCTTGTGAAACTGAATTGCAATTAATTATACACAATTGCATTAGTGAAATATAGGCATAGTTTGCTTCACTTTGCAAGATAATTGGCCGCTATCTGTTGCAGTTAGCCATCCCTCAGTCCGGTCGTTTAGCCTTCTGGTTCGCTAGCTAGTCATCACTCTACACAACATCTAATTTGATATTGTTAAACGAAAGCTCTGTGGATACCACCACTATCACAGGCTATATTTAGCAAAACATTGAATTCTATTTGTTATTTGTTATCAAGACGCAGAAGAACATTTCAGCATTTTTAAAGAAAAAACAAAACGTCAGAAAGTCCCTGTCCTGTCCTCAGTCAGGAGGCTGACAGTGACGAGGTAAGTAATCTTATGTGAGATCAATAGCCTGTTTGGTGGTAAGGGAACAAAATGAAGCACTTTGGTAAATGAAAGCCACAAAAACAAATTTCAGCAATTAGCACTCTGTTAGGAATCTATGTTCTCTAAATTAATTTGCATTAATAGTCATTTAGCATGAAATTAAGCCCCTCAAAATCTCTGGGTAAAGCAGACTAAGGATTTAGGTCTCGCAGTATAGAAGCTAGTGAATAAGTGCGTGTCATTTTCAATAACAGCACAAATAATTGACATGAAAATATCTAAATAAATATATAGTATTTACTCTAATTATCTAAGTGGGAGATAAATTATAAAGAGGGAGATTACTCAGCCATAGAAATCAATTTAGTGAAGTTTTAAAATAATCCTCCCAAAATCTTTGAACATATATGTCAAATTACAGAAAAAGGTGTGTGTGTGTGTGTGTATACAGGTTGTATTTTCCAGGTTGTGACTAACAGACCTATAGACCAAAAAATTGCTGAGACCCTCCTTCCTTGTTCTGGGCTTCCTTGATGGTGAAATGTCAGTATGGGCCAAATGCAAGATAGGGCTCAGACAAAAACATTTATACTGTATCTTGTAAACTGAATATCACAGCAAGCATATTTCAAAGCAGATTTATTCCACAGACTCTCCCAATTTGGTAAGTCCTAAATATCCCCTGGTAATCACTCTAGACAGAGCGATGGGACTTCAGTGTTAATATTTTAACATTCTAGGTATGTTTTGTAATGGTTTTAGAGCTGAAAATTGAACCAAAGCTAAATTTATATAACAAGACTTAGTGGTTAGCAGTTATGGTTAGCTTCCACAAAAGTTTTTAGTAGTTTATTGGTTTAGCATTATTAAATTAAACTTTGAAGTTAGTGCATTGCTGTGCCCACTATTGCCTAATGCTAAATTGTGTTTTTTGTTCTGAGCAAAAGTGGACTTAGTATCCAAATAAATAGCTTTAAACATTTCTTTTGACTGCCTAAGACTTTTGCACAGTACTGTAAATTTAGAATAATCAGTTTGATGTGTATTGCATCAGTTAAACTATAACACATTAAATTCCCTGGCAGCCTAATAGATACCAAGGCAAGAATATCAAGTTTGAACTTTAATAATTTTAAATCCTAACAGTTTGCAACTGGATCCCATAAACAATCTGGGCATAAGGCATGTAAGGCATGTAAGATGTCAGGCATGTCAGGCATGTCAGGCATGTAAGATGTCAGGCATGTAAGATGTCAGTTATGTAAGGCATGTAAGATGTCAGGCATGTAAAATGTCAGGCATGTAAGGCATGTAAGATGTCAGGCATGTAAGGCATGTAAGATGTCAGGCATGTAAGATGTCAGTTATGTAAGGCATGTAAGATGTCAGGCATGTAAGATGTCAGTTATGTAAGGCATGTAAGATGTCAGGCATGTAAGGCATATATATATATATTAGTGCTGTCAAACTATTAAAATTTTTAATCAGATTAATCACAGGGTTGCTGTGGATTAATTTTGATTAATCACGATTAAATATTATTCATTTTTAATCTATATTAATCGCGTCTCATGTTGCATGAGCAAACAGACTCAAGAAAAAAGGGAATATATATGCACTTAACATGTTCATTGAACATGCTGAACACGAGTCGGATGCATTCCATCTGCCACAGAAGTGAAATATACCATGGACCCATATCAAAAAGCAAGATTTTTTGCTTAGCCGGACAACTTGTCGGATTTAAGGTACCTCAATTTAAATGGTCTTTATCTTAGTTCACTTACAATTAGCCTGAACTACCGTAATTCTGACAATCCGACTAATCATGAAATCCAATTCTAGCCTGGTTAATTGCCATTGTTAGCAATATCAGTTGATAACACATTACGCTCAGTGCTTTACGTATAAAACTCTGTAGCAACACGTCCACAGATAAGTTGGACGGTATAGTGTGTGCGACCCTTTTAATGAGCCACAAATGAGAAGTAGTGCTTAAACAGGATAAAACTACAACTTTCCCTTCTGTTGATAAAGGGCGCAGCCATCTTGGATTCTGAACTCGGGATCCTCTGTGCTGTTCCAACATATCTTTCTCGGATCTTTGAAAAACGGGAGCGTGCATGTCGTTGTCACGCCCAGCTCCGTCCGATCCTAATGTGTGCCATGCCCACCTCGTTACCTCCTGTTTCTGCCTGATTGTTCTCACTTGTTGCTCGTTACCCTTAGCTTGTCTTGTGTATTTAGTCCTCGTCTGAGTCAGTCTTCCCCAGACTTGTCAATAATGTTTGCTAATGTTTGCTGTCGTGCTTCCCCGGTCCTGTTTTCCGAATAAAACCCCGTTTCTTCGACTTCCCGGCTCCTTTTCCCTGCTTTCCCGTTCGCCTGCAAGCCGTAGCGTGACAGCCGTCACTTCTGGCTTCAAAACTCGGAATCCGACTTGGAATACGAGTTCTGAGGGCAAATGGAATGCACCAAAATTGCCCGAAATGGGTTGACAGAGACATTTCAGGGATTTTGAATCATTCTGCGCTGCAGATGGGTTAA